AGCGAACAGGTTACAGAGATTTTTTGATGGGTAAGTCGTAGTTGTAGATAATTTTTTTATATGTTACCCATTGTAAAATTTCAAATTTTCAAGTTATTTTTCACTGAATTTTCCATAATTTTGTTTATAAAAGTCAATTTTCCAGAATTTTGCCTGGAGTCATTTTCCATTGGAAAATTTTGAAATTTTCCTATAATAAGCTTCACACTTTCCTCTCTCTTCTGGAAAAATTTCAAAATTTTCCTTTTACAGTTTTCTAGGAAAAAATTAAAATGTAAAATGTGAATTTTACTTAATTTTGCTTAAACAAGTCAATTTTCCAGATATTTTCCTTTGAAAAAGGCTTGAGTGTTCCAACCCCCCCCTTCAAACCACGCTTCTAATAAATAATATTAATATCCTTGATAGTGACGTCATCATCAGTACTTTTCTTGTATCCTTGATGGCCTAATGCCTGGAATAATTACATTTTGCACCTGATTTCGTGACGTCATCATCAGTACTTATGTTGAAAATTCGCTTGAGTGTTCCAATTGTTCTAATTCTGTTCTATTTGCATTATTCAATCAATACAGTCTCACTTTGGTTGTAGTAAGCTGATTTCTAAAAATATTCCAATAGGTGACGTCATTATAAGTACTTATATTGTATAAGTTTTTGAAATGTTTGTGAAGTGAAGTGAGGCTGTGGCTGTGTTAATACAATGGCCACAGCTGTTGCAAGCCTTGTAGTATGCTGATTTCTAAGAATCTTAGTGACGTCATCATCAGTAGGTTTTTTGTATCCTTGATGGCCAAAAAAATAATTCCGTGACGTCATCATTAAGTGAGGCTGTGGCTGTGTTAATGCATTGGTCACAGCCTCACTGCCCTATTGCAGTGACGTCATCATCAGTACGTTTCTTGTATCTTAAGTGCTCAAATGCCTGGAATAATCAATCAATTGAATAATTTTATTGATGTCATCATCAGTACGTTTCTTGTATCCTTGATGGCCAAATGCCTGGAATAACTACATTTTGCACCTGATTTCGTGACGTCATGTACTTAAATTAAAAATTTAAAAAAAGCTTGAGTATTCTCTCCACCTTTAAACCGCGCTTGTAATAAATAATAATAATATCCTTGATAGTGACGTCATCACCTATATTTTCCTTATTCTTTTAGGTACTTGATAATCAATAGAAGAATGGTGGGGGGTATTGCGCAAGAGATCAACGCGCAATCCGAAGTTTGCCGAATCGAGCGCGAACTGGAGGAGGCGCGCAACAAACTGGTGGCCATCAGACAAGCAAAATATAAATTAAAAGGTAAAAAAACCGAAATTCCAGAAAATTCCCTGATTTTCATCAATTTTTAGGTTATGAAACATCCGGTGACGAAACTGACGGTTACGTCAGTTCGGCACCCGAACAAGATACACGGTGAGTCTCAAAAAAGGTGTGTCTTTGTCTAACTCGCATGTTGATGTTGTTTCTCTTTCTAATAAATAGATGGCGCCACTAATTCAAAAAAAAATCGTTTCAGATTCACTCACAGCTACGACAGATCTAACAAGTACGCAAGCCATTTGGAAAATCAACAAGGAACCGCCAACTCGGAATTCGTCAAAAACCCTTCATACAAGTACGAGTATTTCCGTTCCGAGCCTCAGAACAACGAGGAATTTCAATCGTCCTTTACGAAAAACGTCGAGTACATCGACGAGGCTCCGGTGCTCAGAGATCAGAACACGCTTGAGCAAAAGATGCTCAGAAAAAGCGTCAGCGAGCAGATTTTCGAGAAGAAAACGACGACCACCAGCAGGACGACTAAGCAGGAGTCGCAGCTGAAGACTTTTAAGTTTCAATGAGGCTTTTTTTGTTTTTCAAGTGGTGCTTTAACGCTATTTTTTTGTCTTAATAATTATTAATTTGTGTCTGTATATGTATTTAGTTATTAATAAATTAATTATCTGGTTGATTTTGTTGTTTCGGTTACTTCTACCTTTGAAAATCCCGCCTTTTTTCATTGAAAAATATATTTACTACTAGCGCCATCCATTAGACAGAAACTGAAGTTGTTTTTATAAAAATTATCATTTTTACAGGAATCTGTAATTTTTACAGAAGTCTGTAATTTTAACAAAATTTTTTGAAAATTTGATATTTTATTTGATTTTCATCTCTTCACGTTTCTGCTCTCCTGATACAAAATTAGAAATTTCAAAAATCCTGGAATTTTCCTAAAATTCCAATTTTGTATCAGGAACGCGAAGAGGTAAAATTTTCCTCACAAAATGGCGAAAGCGATCTGAAATTAAATTTGGGGAAAAATAAAACGAAAAATTTCGGAAAAATTATTTATTTTCTTCCATAATTAACAATAATAAATGGACAATAGGGCACTAGGAGTTGTCCTGAAGGTTGTAACACCACCTGAAACAAAGCTAAGGTTAATTTTTAAGAAAATTTCAACTTTGCAGCCCTATAACTAGGAAACTGGATAAATCTGGAAATTTTGTAGCAAATTTAATTCTCTTTCGAATGAAACTTGATTCATTAAAATCGGTCCAGGCGTTCCAGAGTTATCGCCGATTTAATGGGACCATGTCAGGCTGGAAAAGCCCCTCCATGAATTTCCTTTTTTATTTTTTTCCAGGCTTAGGAAATATCCTACAGGAAAATGCCAAATAGCTTTTCTGCTTGTTTTCACCTCCTCTATACACTGGAATTTTTATTTTTCCAAAATTCGAAAAATTTCGATTTTCCATTTTGTGAGGTATAGAAAAGGCCCGGAAAATCCTGGAAAACCGGGAAATTAAGGGGCAAAAAGTGGATTCCGACATTTTTTTGGATGTCCTCTATGACGTCATCGAAGAAAATCCGGGAAATTTTGACTTTGATTTTTTGGCCGAAAAAAAAAGGATCGATTTTAAAATTTCCAAGTGGAATATCTTGGAAATGGTGAGTCCTAGAGGGAAAACTCACTGAGCTTTTTTTGTAGATCTCGACAAGCTCTACAATGTAGCCATGAACAGTTTTCCTCTAGGACTTACCATTACGCAGCTACAGCCCGTTGAAGTTGAGATTTTTGTCATTTTCCAGTGTCTCCTGTGTTATAGGTATAGGCCCAAAAATCGAAGTCAAAATTTCGAAATTTCAACATAGCCATTTTGTAGAGGGGATCCCAAAAAGTCCCGAAACCAACTTTTTTCCCCTTAATTTTCCGATTTTCCAGGGCTTTTCCAGGTTTTTTTGAATTAAATGGAACCTTTTGTAAATTAATTTTTTTCTGGAAAACTAGCAAAGAGAAAATTTTGAAAATTTTTCAGGAAAAAGAGAAAACTATAAAGCTCATTATAGGAAAATTTCAAATTTTTCCAATGGAAAATGACTCCAGGAGAAATTCTAGAAAATTGACTTATTTAAGGAAAATTAAGGAAAATTCACCTCTTGCATTTTAATTTTTTTCTGGAAAACTGGCAGAGGGAAAATTTTGAAATTTTTCCAGGAGAAAGAGGAAAGTGTGGAGCTCATTATAGGAAAATTTCACAATTTTCCAATGGAAAATGACTCCAGGAAAAATTCTGGAAAATTGACTTATTAAGGAAAAATTTACCTCTTGCATTTTAATTTTTTTCTGGAAAACTGGCAAAGGGAAAATTTTGAAATTTTTTCAGGAGAAAGAGGAAAATGTGGAGCTCATTATAGGAAAATTTCAAATTTTTCCAATGGAAAATGACTCCAGGAGAAATTCTAGAAAATTGACTTATTTAAGGAAAATTAAGGAAAATTCACTTCTTGCATTTTAATTTTTTTCTGGAAAACTGGTAAAGGGAAAATTTTGAAATTTTTTCAGGAGAAAGAGGAAAATGTGGAGCTCATTATAGGAAAATTTCAAATTTTTCCAATGAAAATTGACTTCAGGAAAAATTCTGGAAAATTGACTTATTAAGGAAAAATTTACCTCTTGCATTTTAATTTTTTTCTGGAAAACTGGCAGAGGGAAAATTTTGAAATTTTTCTAGGAAAGAAAGGAAAGTGTAAAGTTCATTATAAGAAAATTTCAAAATTTTCCAATGAAAAATGACTCCAAGAAAAATTCTGGAAAATTGACTTTTTTAAGCAAAATTCATCCACTTGATTTTTCAAAAGGGGGCTTAAATCTAGGGTATTAGGAGGCTATAGAAACCATAGTTTTTTTCCATATAATTGCAGTATCATGTTGGTACTGTAAGTATCTTGGTGGCAAAGGGTATGGGCCCCTTTGGTACAAAACCAAATAGTCGAGTCATCAACTTTTAGTTCAGGAAATCCCACTGGCACAAATGTTTGTAGTCAAAATACGAAAATTGGGCCTTTTTTTGATGCTCGGTACAAGTTTTGTCCCACTGGGGCTCCTTTTTTCAATTAAAATCAATCAAAATTACCTCAGAGTAAAACCGGGTTTTTTCCGCAACAAATCTTGTCCCACTGCTTTTGTCCAGGACAACAAGTTACAACTTGAATGGTTTTTAATTACAGTATTTAGAATTAATTGTTTAAAGACAATGTAAACAAATAATTGAGGTTAGGTAACCATTTTGCTGTCAAAAACGTGCCAGCGCCATCTATCAACGAACCACCATAGTTGCCGAATTACAGATTCCTGTATTAGTGATAAATTACAGGAATCTGTAATTTGCAATTATTGAATTTTGTGTTAATTTGAGTTTAATTATTAAAAATGGATAAAGTAATCATTACAGCAATCTGTAATTTTTGCAGCGACATCTAGCAAGTAAAAATTGAAATAATTATTACAGAAATCTGTAATTTTTTGTTGATTTCATTTTACGTATCTGGAGCTACGATTTCAGCCAGTTGATGATGTCACCATAAGTGCCAACATTAATTTTGATTTTTTTTAAAGCTTAAGCAATGTATTTTACGTGGGTTTTCAGCCAACTGATGACGTCACCAATGAAAAAAAAAAATACAAGGGTTTAATTGATTCATTGGTTTTTTTTTTCATTTGTTTAAAATTTTAATTGACATAACATAATAATTAATACTTAAAAACTAATAATTCAACACTATACACGGTTTAATTAATTTTTATTTACAATAATAATTATATATTTAAAATTTAATCTACACTCGGAATTAATAGATGACGTCACACACATAATCTCACTTTCGTTTTGTCAACAATGACGTAACACAAACATGTGTATATGACGTCAGCTAGTACCTAATTAATTGCTTGGAAATGAAATTAATTAATTCCTACCTAAAGAAAATCAGACTTTTTACCTTTACAATACGATTGTCCTCGAATTCGAAAAAACTCTTTGTTTATTGGTGCAGATTTCGTTTTTAAATTCCATTATTGGTAGAACCGGTGTAGAAAAAAAAAAAAAAAAAAAAATGTCTTTCTATCTTTTTCTTATACATGATGTTAGAAAAAGATACAAATACACTTGGTGCGCACCAGCTGTTCCAATGTGATATAAAAAGATTCCTTTTTTGTGTGTTTTTGATCCTTATTCTATAGGGTGATATGGAGAATAGTTTCAAGCAATTTACAAATCTTAAAAGCTACAATTAAATTGTCAGGAAAACTCTCGGATAAAAAGAAATTTGGCAACAAAAAAAAAAAAAGAAGAAAAATTTGTATAACATATCACAAGGGCTAAATGGGGTGTTCAAGCGTTCGACCAGTTATTGGTTAGTCGCTTGAAAACTCCCTGATCAGCTTAGGTCGTCGCCCTCTTCGCTTTCCCTGTGCACCAGCACCTGGACTACCGTCGATTCGCCGGCCGTTTGCCGGCCTTCCGGCGACGCTTCCGTCACCAAAATACTGACGTCCGAACTGTGACTGCACCGTTCCGACTGACTGCGTTGACAGCCGCCCGCCACCGACGTCGGACGGCTTTTCACCGAACCGGCGCGTTTGCGCCGAATCGGACGGTCGTCCGCAGTCGACGGATGAAGTGTCAAGCCTGGAATAATTGGTATTTTTTTTATCCTTGTTTTTAGAAAAAGATATATTGATAATCGCCATGACATAGCGATTTCTATTTGTAGAATCAGTGCAGAAAATGCGGATAATACGGATACACTCAGAGTAAGTTCGGAGTGTACTAGATTTTGAACTCAATAATGCAGTATTTTTATTGTTTAGTGAAAAATCGAGCAAAATTAGGTCCTTTGCTTACAATGTTCTAGAGCAGATTTTTTAATACAAAAACTTGTAAATACCAATAGCAACTAGGCTGAGATCATGACGAGTAGAATTCTACTTTCATGACGTCACCCGCAACTTATTTATCGCGTACAGGATGGTTGCTAGACAACCTGACGTCATAAAAGTAAAAGTTTACTTGTCATGAACCCAATTCAATGTGTTCTAAAGATTGACCAAGAGCCTGTTCCGAGCTTGTTAGAAATTCCTGATTCGTTTACTTCGTCACAACTGGTGACCCGAAGGGCCAAAGTTTTATGGACCGAAGGGCCACAGTTATTTTAACTATAAGCCCGGAGGGCCGAAGTTATACGAGTCCGAAAGGACAACAAACGTCAAAACATTGACATTTCAAAATAGGCTTTGTTATCTTTCAAGGATAATACATACACTACAACAACATATAATAGTCGTCAACTATTTAAACAGGCTACGTCAAGGCGAAAAATAACATGCATTCGACGTCATAACTGGTGATTTGACCCGAGGGATAATGGAAGGATTTGTTACACACAGGTCTTATGAAGATAAAATATTTTGTAGTAGTTGTGTGTATTATCCTTGAAAGAAAACAAGGCCTTCTTTCAAATGTCAATGTTTTGACGTTTGTTATCCTTTCAGACTCGTATAACCTCGACCCTCCGGGCTCATGGTTAAGATAACTCTGACCCTTTGGGCTAATTAAAGTTCAAATTTAAGGCTCTATTGCTCAGGGAGTTTTTGAGATATTAAGCTCAATTTTGCACTGATTCATAGAGAATTTTATGCTCTTTCCAATGATATATAGTTTATTTAATTTGCTCAAATATTAACGGAGATATGAGTCATTGTTTATAAGCATGTCAGGATTTAAAAAATAAAACATTTTTCTAACTTTGAGCCTCAATTACTCGGAAAGTATTTGAGCAAATCCCCCCTTTCTTCTTTTCGCCAAATCACCAGTTGTGACGAAGTAAACGAACCAGGAATTTCTAACAAGCTCGGAATAGGCTCTTGGTCAATTTTTAGAACACATAAAACCGATTTGAAACTGATTCCATTTGATTTGAGAATTCAGAACACAGTTGGGATCATGACAAGTAAACTTTTACTTTTATGACGTCAGATTACCTAGCAACCATCATCATAGCTTGTAAATACGTGGCGGGCGGCGTCATGAGAGTAGAATTCTACTCTTCATGATCCCAGAGCAGTTGCTATTAGAGCAAGTTTCTGTATTACCCCCCAAAAAAAAAATGCCCTAGAACACTGTAAGCATTGTAAATGGGCCAAAATGACGTCATCAGGAGTGCCTCAACATGATTCTAATCTCCATATGCGTCATCAAGTTACCCATAACTAGACAACCTATTAACTTTGGGAATCATAATTCCAAGATTCCTAAAAGTTGAAGTTAACCTCTTTCAAATAACCTTGCAGTACATGAATACCACACTAAAATCCCATTCCGATCTCAACTCTAGTGCGCATGATTGACTAAACAAAAGTCACCATGACATAGCGATTTCAATTTGTAGAATTGGTGCAAGAAAAATCCCTGAGATGCAACGACCGCCATGACATAGCGTTTTCAATTTGTAAAATCGGTGCACTTACCTTTGCTGTCCGGAGTTTCAACAGCGTCCTGATGCCTCAAAAAAAAATTGTACAAACTCCGCCGTCTCGAAGGCGGCGTCGTTTTAGGTGGTTCGTCGACGTCGTCGTCTTCGGTCGATTGACGTCTCGCTTCTAAATCGCGGGCGGCGCCGGTGAGCAACAGCAGCGGCAAGTTCAACCACGGCCCGCCGAGTTCGCTGAGGTCGCTGGCGTCGGATGCGCGCGACGATTTTCGGGAAGATGCGCGCGAACCTCTGTGGACGTGCAGGAACGTCGTCAGACGGCTGCGCCAGTCGCCGCCCGGCGACGACGTTTGCGTCGTTTCGTCTACGTCTTCGTCTTGACGTTCTTTATCCTTTTTCCTTCTGATAAAATGATTAATTAATCTATCTTTGTCTATTGTAACCTAGTAAAAAAAAGTGAACTCAATTTGAATGCATGAGAACGAGAAAGCACGATTGTAGGACACATTATTTCTATTCCAGGCTCTTGAATTTTCTTCGTATAGATTTATTTATTTTACTCCAAATAGAGTAAGTTCATTGGGCATTGAAGAGTAAAAAGAGTAAATTACAGAGGTTTCATTTCAAATTAAAATTGATTTAGAGTCGATTTAGAACACTTAAAAATTGCAAGATTTTGAACCAGTGTAATCTGATTTAGAACTGCGAACAAAAAAGTGTAAAGTTCAATATGTTCTAGAACCGCAATCACGATATTCAGTACTCCTACAACTAGTTCGAAAATGTTCTTAGAACAAATGTGTATCATATTTTGGCTTGTTGCAATGCAAACCAGTTCAGGATTTTATCGAGTTCCAGACAAAAAAAGAGTATGTTCAGTATGTTCTAGAACAGCAATCGCAAACTGAAGTAAATGGTAATTTGATGACGTATTTGGGGTGCCTTATGGAAATTTGCATTATGTTGAGGTACTCAAGATGTCGTCATAGAGTTACGGGCCATCGAGAAAATTGTCCTAGATCACTCATAATTAAGCAAATAGTTGAGTTCCGAATGGTAGAAAGTGTCGACACTTTTTACTCTATTGACACTATGGCGTTTGTTTATTGATAGGAGTAAGTCTGGTGTAAACATGGTGGGACACCGTTTACTCGGTACAAAATAATGGTATTTTCGGTGTTACACCACCGGTGACACTGCACTAAAATCCCATTCCGAACTCAACTATTGAATAATTTGGGTGTAAATGAGTTACACCCGTTTGTCACGAGATGGCGCCACTTTACCATGAGCTACAAAATATCCCAAAAAATCGAATTAAAACTCTTCACACTTATTAATCTCAGATTAATGCAGGTTTCTGTTTTACCGGCTATCAAAAAAAGAAGAGGAGCGGCCATTTTAGAATTGTGTTTTTCAATAGATTTCAGTGCAGTCCGGAAAATGTTGCTTGTGATATGAGGAATTGGATTTTTCATAAGCGGCACGTTATTATGCCATTTTTCACCGAAAATATTTCCACGGTGAGTGAAAACTGTCATATTAGCTACAGTGGCGTCCTATTTTTGAAACCCTATGTGTTCATATTGAAAATTGGCAAAAATATGGTGGCACGGGCCTGGTTCACTTCTATATTTACCAATAATTAAATATTCAAAATTAGCAAAAATATGGCGACAGGCCACTGTGAGTCCCTTTAATATCAGCTAACTTCACTTTTCGAAATAAACATCAAAGTAGGCCTTGGACGGCCATTTTAAAATTGCGTTTTTTAATAAAATGGCCAGTGTTATTTTAGCCATGAATCCGGAGGGCTGAGATTATACGAGTCCGAAAGGACAACAAACGTTAAAACATTGACATTTCAAAGTAGATTTTGTTCTCTTTCAAGGATAATACACATACTACTATTACAAGATAGCTTATCTTCATAAGGCCTGTGTGTAACAAATCCTCCCCTTACCTCTCGGGTCAAATCACCAGTTGTGACGTCGACAGCATGTTATTTCTCGCCTTGACGTAGACTGTTTAAATAGTTGACAATTATTATATGTAGTAGTAGTATGTATTATTCTTGGAAGAAAACAAAACCTCGGTCTCCGAACTCATGGTTAAAATAACTCTGGCCCTTTGGCAACATATGGCAACACTGTCTATGATACAGCAAACGTCAAAAAAAATTGACTTTTCAAAGTAGGATTTGTTTTCTTTCAAGGATAATACACACAACTACTATAAAATATTCTATCTTTATAAGGCCTGTGTGTAACAAATCCGCCCCTTTTCCTTTGCGCCAATTCAGTTGTGACGGAGTAAAGAAGGGGTGAAATATATGGTAAAAACAGATTTGACGTCTCTGGATCCTTATTCTTGAAACAGGGGAGCAGTTTTCCCAGGAGAATGAGTGTTCCGTCTTTCTCAATGATATGCAACTGGTAATATGAGTAACAAAGACAGAACAATCGTCCTCCTGGAAACGTTTCTTCCCTGTTTTAAGAATAAGGACCCAAAGACGTCAAATCTGGGATACTCAGTAATACCGGCCCGAAGGGCCGGAGTTTTATGCGAGTCCGGCCCGAAGGGCCGGAGTTATATGCGAGTCCGGCCCGAAGGGCCGGAGTTATATGCGAGTCCGGCCCGAAGGGCCAGAATTTTATGGCCCGAAGGGCTATAAAACTCCGGCCCTTCTGGCCGGACTCGCATAAAACTCCGGCCCTTCGGGCCGGACTCGCATAAAACTCCGGCCCTTCGGGCCGGACTTGCATAAAACTCCGGCCCTTCGGGCCGGAATCGCATAAAACTCCGGCCCTTCGGGCCGGACTCGCATAAAACTCCGGCCCTTCGGGCCGGACTCGCATATAACTCCGGCTCTTCGGGCCAGAGTTATTTTAACCATAAGTTGTATTAAATCAAAATCGACGGACAATATCTTTTAATAAAGAAAATTCAAGAGCCTGGAATAGAGAAAGCATGATTTTTCACTCAATTTACTAATCTACCTCAAATAATCCTTCCAAGTTTTCTGGATCAGCTTGGCAGCCTTGTCTTGCCTCTTCCACATCCGCGTAGACGAAACTATCTCCAACTCCTTCCTTGTAGGAAACTGCTTTTTGAATTTGATATCCATTTGCTCTTGCAACTGAAAACTTTTTGTTTGTATCTCTTTCCTACATATACAGAGTGCGACATAACTTCTGCCCCACTATCACTATTCTTCGCTTTTTCGTACAAAATAGGGGCAGAACTTATGACGCATCCTGTATAATATGGTACTCACTTGTCTAAAATTGTCGGTTTCTTCAACATGTCCAAGCACGTGCTTGACCAGCGCATGTAAAATGTCCAAACAATGAATTTTGTTGCCTTTAGCTATAGGTAAATTGAAACTAACCAAAGCTACAGTGTTGGGCTTGGGAATCCCAAGAGGCGGATCTAGCGAAGCTATGAAATCAGACAACTGACTGAATCTTATAAACTGAGCAGCATGCGGATCGTATTTGCTCCATCTAATGTAAAACATCTCCAAATCGTCTTCTACAATACCGATTTCTTCTTCTTGGTGCGCCTGGTTGAAGTTTTCCAGAATAATAGCGATGTACATGTTGATGACGATCATGTAGTTGATGATGATGAAGCTGGTGAAGTAGATGATGGCGAGCAAAGGGTAGCCGCAATCGCCGTTGGTTTGGTGTTTGTAGTGGGGGTCACAATCCGGATACTCGATCATTAAGGATTCTAGAACATCGTTCCAGCCGGCTGAAGTGATCAGACGGAACAGCAAATGCATTGATCGGCCGAATGTTTCGAAGTTTACCATGTCGTCCAGAGCACCTTGTTGTCGTACGTGTCCGAACAGGAACATTCCGATTATGGCGTAGATGAAGGTGATCAATGCTAGTAAGGCTCCTATATTGAATAGGGCTGGTAGAGACACTACCAGAGCAAAGAGGAGTTTTCTTATGCCTTTTGCCGCCTGAAAAATATACTCAATTTAATGGTATATAATAGAAGGAGCTACTGTGATGGAATTAACAGATAGGGGTGTTAGCTGAGCCAGGAGGGGGATGCATAACCTCCTCGAAGGAGACGTTGGACCTCCTCCTGGCGACACACTTCCCTGAGTCACATATAGGGACGCTGTGCGCCTGATTATAAGCTATTGGTACTTTTATGT